AGTCAATTAAGATTGGAGTCGAGTGCACCCGCACGAGCGGGGTTCGAACTCACAACCTCAGTGTTGACTGGCTAGTGATTACAGTATAGTATCTACTTCGACCACTCGGCCACCGAGGCCCCTGAAAAGATGTGAGATACTGTATGAAATATATTAATTGTGTTATTATATGTTAAAATTTTTACTTCGTTTCACTCTACACTTTTCGATGCCTATTATGAACGAAAAACTTTCATTTGGAAGGGCCATACTTTTCTAAAACAAAGAAATAAGCAAACAACCAAAGAAAAAGAAAACGAACAACTCCGATATCTGTTTGAAAAAATAATCGACAAAGAGGTACAAACGCAGATGATTAAATAAGAGGCGAAATATACCAGAGGGACACATTAAAACTCATAAGTCGAAAATTAACTGACAACGCCATGGCTAAAAAAAAAGGCAAACAGTCAAACAATAGTACACAAAACACAACATAGGAAACTAAATACTAAGCAACACGAACCCCACCAAAAACTGGGGGGGGTCTCATGTGCTCCGGAAGGGTAAGCAGATCCTGCTCCACATGTGGAACAAGTCGTGCTCATGTTAGTACAAACCCGCTATCAAGTCTAAATCGGTAGGTCACATTCGTGAAAAGGGGACGGGATTGTAGTTACGACATTAGGAACATGTCCGTTATCATCTGTGAAACGGATATTCCAAAACGGTCAACCAACACGTGATGGCGTCAGTAAAATTTACGAAGGATGATTTCAACTTTACCATTCAGAACTCTTCGTTTAGACATTACCCCTCCCTTTCGAGTGTTTATACATTCTCCAAAAAAAATGAATTGGTAAATCTAAAAAATTGTACAAGCCTTTTAAAATATTTGTAATCCACTAAAATTTATATATATATAAGGCTATTCCGAACGAATCAAACAACAAAGAGAAAACATTTTCCACTTTCATCAGCTATGAGACGGCTAGCTTTTTAGAAAAGCTATTACTTGTTTAATTATAGAGTTAAGTCTGATAGTTTTAAGCACTTGGAGAATTGTATTTGTCATATAAACATCTATTGCTGGAATTATATATTATTGTGAATCTGTTTGATATGAAATATTATGGATGCATCACATATGTTTAATAAACAATTATATTATATAATGGAGTACCTTATATATGTGAGCTAGTGAACCGAGACAATTTTCCCCCCGTATCTAAAACACTTCTTATAGGAGTAAAAGCCCACTCCTACATAATGGTGGAGACCCGAATAATAAACGATCATAGTTATCCATTCCTACATAATGGTGGAGGACTAAAACTATAAGTAAGGTGGTGTCCAGTATTGACACTTACATAATAGTGCAAGAGGATAAAATTTGAGCTATAATTATGGAAACTACCAAAAATGAAACAGATGAAGAGAGTGAAGAAGATGATGATGATGACAGTGACAAATATCAAGGCTTCTACATATACTATGAGGGATCCTTGACTTTGTGAATTGTTGGACATGTAAATATTTTTTTAGGGATATCGAAACATTAATAACTTAGAACTGTTAGTCAATATTAGTAGATTTATTGTGACTTGTATTTGTTCCTGATTTTGTTATTCCTTCTACATTTGAAAGATGCCTGATATTATATAGAAAGCAGATTTAGGTATGTTTCTATGTGCGTGGATAGATTGCCAAAATTTCCTTGATGCATTGTAATTCCCTGTTTAGTCACAAGAGACTGCTAAAATATGTCGATATAGGTGTCCTCCTACTTTCATTGCGGACTATGGAAGGAACTTTTTTTTAAAGAGTAGAAGACCTGTCCTTTGGAAAAAAAAATATTCATGGAGATGAAGATGAACATGAAGACAAAAATGAAGAAGGAGACTAAGACGAAGATGAAGACGAAAATAATTCAAAACAGGCAGCGTTGCCTACATGTTAGAATACGAAAGAAACAAATGGACCTATATTGTGAGGAACAAAGTCAACTACTTCAAATTGAGAGATGATAACTCATCTTATATCATATATTGCTTATCTTTACTTATTCTAGTCGACTATCTATCTTCCGAATTTTTGTATATATTATTCTCAGTGATATATGGAATAAGAAGATTTCATTGTGTCTTATTGGTAGTTTGTGCATCAAATGTTCTGTTGAGTGAAAGCAATAGTAGAGTTCATAATATTTAGTGGAGTCATACATAGGTATACATGTATATGCTAAATATTTGAGTCATATCGAGAGTATCATAGTGCATTCTAAGCCTTTGAAATGAAATCAAGTTGATCAAATTTGTGCAAATGAAAATTGCATAGGAAAAGTGAAAGTCAAATATAGCCAATTTTAGGGCATCATAAAATCCATGGAATGTATATAAGTTTCATATAGATAGTTTTATAGTTAGTTTTTGCATGCTTATTAGAACATTTATAGAACATTTGGACTAGACTACTGAACAGTACTACATCCGAGTGAAACGACAAACATTTGAAAACTTGATGAATACCTAATGATGATTATTTTATATGAACACAAACTATTCTTTAATACATAAATACCAACATGCTGAACTGAAAAACATTTGTAACTTATTTCAACACTTAAGATGATGAACTATGACAATTTTAGTTATTATAGATTGGATATATGCCTATATAAACTGAACTTATGATATTTGCAGTTTAATAACCGAAACCGTACAGAACTATAACATTTTGTTCCTAAATACCTGATGATTTGTGAAGTATACTATTTACCAGAACTTTCAATTTTTAATGAACAATCTAAGCTGATGTCGCTTACAGATTTGGACATATTTGAACTTTGAACTTAAATCAAGATGACAGAATGCTGTGAATGAATGAACATTAACTTTAATAATTGTGTTTTGTTATATATTGTGTTTTGTTTTCTTTTATAATTATTGATCATTTTATACTTTTATTTTTCAAATTTTTTAATCCATTTGAATTTTTGGAGACCAAAAATTTTATAAAGCAAGAGGAAAATATAGTAGAGTAAATTTATAACAATTTTAAAAGTAACATTTTAAACAGTTTTCAGTATTTCGATTATTTCATGTTGAAGATAAAAGAATTTGCATGCTTAGTTTTATTAGTAAACAACAGATGTTGATTTTAGTGTCTCTAGTAGAAGTAGTTCAGAAAAGTAATTAATTGTAATTGTTTATTTCACATGTTATTGACCATTACTTGAGACATTAAAGATTCTTATATAAATACGTTCTGTCAATGCCATTTGGTAATCAAAAGGTCAGAGGTTTGAGGCATAAGATAAATTTAGAATATTAAGCAATAGGCTAAAGGGTGTTAATTTAATTATAGAGTTAAGTCTGATAGTTTTAAGCACTTGGAGAATTGTATTTGTCATATAAACATCTATTGCTGGAATTATATATTATTGTGAATCTGTTTGATATGAAATATTATGGATGCATCACATATGTTTAATAAACAATTATATTATATAATGGAGTACCTTATATATGTGAGCTAGTGAACTGAGACAATCCCTTCCCCCCCGTATCTAAAACACTTCTTATAGGAGGAAAAGCCCACTCCTACATAATGGTGGAGACCCGAATAATAAACCATCATAGTTATCCATTCCTACAGTTATAAAAAACTAGAGGCTCTCAAGAGCCTGTGTCGCTCACCTGTATTTACTGCTGCTTTGGAAATCATGTAAAATAAGGTTAAAATCATAATTAATAGTATTAGATATTAGATATTATAATGATATCTAAGATAATAACAAAAAACTGCAAAATTTTTGTAAAATTACTAACTCAGGGGCAGCAACCCAAAAACGGGTTGTCGGATTCGTCTGAAAATTTCAGAGATATAAACCAATAAAATGCTCGGCTGGGCGCAGCTTGATACGACCGCAGAGGTCGAACCCTGAACAGTTGGGGCAAGTATGGACACAACATTCAAGCTTGATACAGCACTGAGTTTGGATTGTAATTAAATATTTGACACATCATAGGTTTCTGACACAGAATGAATGTGGTCTAAGAATTAAAAAATTTTTAATTTACCTATTCAAACCATTTCATTTTTATTTGCTTTTGAATATAAATCAGAAATAACCAATTTAAAATGGAAAATTTTAAAGAAAGAAAAGGAAAAAAAAATCCCCCCCCCCCCAATTTTTGAACCCCCTTATGATTCATTACCCCCAAACTCAATCCCAGCCTTCCCTTTATGGTATGGTACCTTGCAGTACAATTTCAGAGAGATCCATACACTTGAACACAAGTTATTGTCTGGAAACTAGAAAAATGCTTGTTTTTTGGCCCCTTTTTGGCCCCAAATTCCTAAACATTTAGGACAATTACCCCCAAACTCAAACCCAGCTTTCCCTTTGTGATATGGAACCTTGTAGTACAATTTCATAAAGATCCATACATTTACACGCAAGTTATTGTCATGAAACTAGAAGAATGCTTGTTTTTTGCCCACTTTTTGGTCCCTAATTCCTAACATTTTGGTACCTTGCAGTACAATTTCAGAGAGATCGATACACTTGAACACAAGTTATTGTCTGGAAACTAGAAAAATGCTTATATTTGGCCCCTTTTTGGCCCCTTATTCCTAAACATTTTGGGCAATTACCCCCAAACTCAATTCCAGCTTTCCCTTTGTGATATGGAACCTTGTAGTACAATTTCAGAAAGATCCATACTCTTACACACAAGTTATTGTCATGAAACTAGAAAAATGCTTGTTTTTTGCCCCCTTTTTTGCCCCTAATTCCTAAAATTTTGAGGCATTTACCCCCAAAATCAATCCCAGCATTCCCTTTGTGATATGGGACCTTGTGGTACAATGTCTGAGAGATCCATACACTAACACACAAGTTATGTCTGGAAGTTACAAAAATGCTTATTTTTGGCCCCTTTTTGGCCCCCAATTCCTTAACTGTTGGTACCATAGGCCCCAAAATCAATCCCAATCTTCCTTTTGTGGTATTGAACCTTATGGTTAAATTTCATAGAGATCCATGAACTTAAACTAAAGTTAGAGTGCCAAAACCAATGTGTCTTCGGACGACGACGACGACGCCAACGTCATACCAATATACGACCACAAAAATTTTTTGCGGTCGTATAAAAACTGCATTTTACCCCTATGTTCTATTTTTAACAAAGTCGGACATGATGGTTGGAAGGCGGGGTCATCGGACACATTTTTTAAACTAGATACCCTAATAATGATTATGGCCAAGTATGGTTAAATTTGTCTCAGTAGTTTCAGAGAAGAAGATTTTTGTAAAAGTTGACTAGTAAAGGCAATAACTCCTAAAGGGGTCGACTGACAATTTTGGTCATGACAACTTATTTGTAGATCTTACTTTGCTGAACATTATTGCTGTTTACAGTTTATCTCTATAATAATATTCAAGATAATAACCACAAGAGTGCACACGCTGAAATGTCTCGCCTTCTTTACTAATCATTGATATTATGTTGATAGTCCTAAATATAAAGCTTCATTACAACTGTCACATAAACTTAACATTAACCAAGTAAACTAAACATTGACCAATGAACCATGAAAATGAGGTCAAGGTCAGATGAACCATGCTAGGCAGGCATGTACAGCTAACAATTCTTCCATACAACAAATAGAGTTGACCTATTGCTTATAGTTTAAGAAAAACAGACCAAAACACAAAAACTTAACACTGAGCAATGAACCTTGAAAATGAGGTCAAGGTCAATTAAAACCTGCGTGACTGCCAAATAGATCATAAAATATTTCCATACACCAAATATAGTTGAACTATTGCATATAGTATAAGAAAAACAGACCAAAACACAAAAACTTAACTATAACCACTGAACCATGAAAATGAGGTCAAGGTCAGATGACACCTGCCAGTTGGACATGTACACCTTACAGTCCTTCCATACACCGAATATACTAGACCTATTGCTTATAGTATCTGAGATATGGACTTGACCACCAAAACTTAACCTTGTTCATTGATCCATGAAATGAGGTCGAGGTCAAGTGAAAACTGTCTGATGGGCATGAGGACTTTGCAAGGTACGCACATACCAAATATAGTTGAACTTTTGCACATAGTATTAGAAAAAAAGACCAAAACTCAAAAACTTAACTTTGACCACTGAACCATGAAAATGAGGTCAATGTCAAATGACACCTGCCCGCTAGACATGTACACATTACAATCATTCCATACACCAAATATAGTAGACCTATGGCATACAGTATAAGAAAAACAGACCAAAACACAAAAACTTAACTATAACCACTGAACCATGAAAATGAGGTCAAGTTCAGATGACACCTGCCAGTTGGACATGTACACCTTACAGTCCTTCCATACACCGAATATACTAGACCTATTGCTTATAGTATCTGAGATATGGACTTGACCACCAAAACTTAACCTTGTTCACTGATCCATGAAATGAGGTCGAGGTCAAGTGAAAACTGTCTGACGGGCATGAGGACCTTGCAAGGTACGCACATACCAAATATAGTTATCCTATTACTTATAATAAGAGAGAATCTAACATTACAAAAAATCTTAACTTTTTTTTCAAGTAGTCACTGAACCATGAAAATGAGGTCAAGGACATTGGACATGTGACTGACGGAAACTTCGTAACATGAGGCATCCATATACAAAGTATGAAGCATCCAGACCTTCCACCTTCTAAAATATAAAGCTTTTAAGAAGTTAGCTAACGCCGCCGGATCACTATCCCTATGTCGAGCTTTCTGCGACAAAAGTCGCAGGCTCGACAAAAAACTGCAAAATTTCCTTAAAATTACCAATTCAGGGGAAGCAACCCAACAACAGGTTGTCAGATTTGTCTGAAAATTTCAGGGCAGATAGATCTTGACCTGATAATCAGTTTAACCTTATCAGATTTACTCTAAATGCTTTGGTTTCAGAGATAGAAGCCAAAATCTACATTTTACCCCTATGTTCTATTTTTAGCCATGGCGGCCATCTTGGTTTGTTGGCGGGGTCATCAGACACATTTTCTAAACTAGATACCCTAATGATGATTATGGCCAAGTTTGGTTAAATTTGGCCCAGTGGTTTCAGAGGAGAAGATTTTTGTAAAAAGCTAACGACGACGAGGGACGACGGGTGATGAGAAAAGCTCACTTGGCCCTTCGGGCCAGGTGAGCTAAAAAGCTAATGACGACGACGGACGATGACGACGACGACTACGACGGACGACTGAAGCCGGAGGCCAAGTGATGAGAAAAGCTCACTTGGCCCTTCGGGCAGGTGAGCTAAAAATAAAAGTTAAAAATCTCGTAGCATAATAAATATGATAAAAATTATACAATATAACAAAGTCAATCACATAGCTTCAAAAATCAAAAATGTTTAAATTAAACTTGCTTTTGAAATAATAGTCAGTTATTTGAAATGCATATGTGTAAACAAAATTGTTTTTAACTTGGCTTCCGCTTACCTTATGCCAGCAAAATAACATATTTTCTTTTTTTCCAGCACCAACAACAATTTCACTTTATTGCTAGTGCCGGTAAAATAGCCATTTCTATTGAAATAGGCTATTTTGCCGGCTTGAATTATGATATTTTATTCAGAGCCGGCAAAATAGCCACTGCCTAGAATTAATTTGCATGTCCCTTTTGGTCATATAGCTCCTCAAGTATTCAAGTATTTCTACATCCCTGACTTTCAAATATTTTGAAAATGGGAGATTCCATTGTTCTATTATCAATATTCTGAAACATGCATTCACTCCTTTCTGTTTTTTTTATGTCTTGACATTCCTGCCATTTAAAGCTTACTACATGGTCAAATTGGATGCCAGTCCTATAAGAATGATGCCTCCATTATCTTTCATCATCTAATGAATATGAAAGCTATAACTTTGTCTTGGTTAATTACATGTACTTCATAATCTAAGTTACATACAGATTTCTGATAAATCACTACACAAGATGCATACACAAACACAATGTATGCCTGTACCAATTCAAGCTATTTGGACCATGTGTTGTTTGTTGTTGGTCTATGAAGGTCGATTTTTCCCATAGAAATCAGGTGTTGGTGGCTGGTGTGGTCTGTTGTACTGTCAAATTTTTTTGTGTAATTCCTTTTATCCTTTTCGTGTATTATACAAAACATGGCTATTGAAAAAAGTAAAATAACAAAACTACCAAACTCCAAGGAAAATTCAAAACTGAAAGTCCCTTATCAAATGGCAAAATCAATAGCTCAAACACATCAAACGAATGGAAAACAACTGTCATATTCCTGACTTGGTACAGGCATTTCCTTATGTAGAAAATGGTGGATAAAACCTGATTTTATCGCTTTTAAAGCACACCTTGGGATTATGAATCCCCAGATGGAAAGGGAGAGAACTTATATATAACATATGTGCAGTCACTTGCCTATTTTTATTGTTCATTTTGCTTGCCATGTTGGCATCTAAATATTCAACTTATGATAATGCTAAGAACACCAACTGTTATTAAAACAAATAATTATTAATTCACTTTAACATTTCTTACTACAATGCATCTGCCATTATAATAAGGTCTCACTGAAGCAAAATAAGATATCACTAAGAGGCACTAAATTTAACATCAATAAATGTTTTTTTTAAAAGAAGTCTATGCAAATGTATACATTTTAAGAATCTGTATACACTCATTAGAAGTACAAACCTTCAATATTTTTAGGCAATAACATTCATTTGTTTAATAACGTAATGATGCCACCTATGTTTCTAAATTATTGGAAGTTAGTAGGTATTTACATCTGACAGAATATTAAAGTTACAGTAAAAACTCTCTCTCTTATTTGTTGGAAGTACAGACCTTTTAATGTGAAAACAACTTTCATGGATGGGGGACACAAAGTAGGATCATCAGTAAGAAAGAAATCACACAGCCTTAATTGTTAAACTGGAAGATTCGCAGTAGCATGTGCCACCATAGCTGCCATGATTTGATTATTATCCAACAAGAATTCTCTCAACTAAAATGACTCGTTTTATCACAAAATGAGAACCCATTCTTAAGATTTCTTCATGTGCTATTCCTGTCACAAAACATGATTGTTTAAAAGAGAAAAAAAGTAATTTCCCAAGAGTTCATATGAAAATTTTCGCAGCTAACTCCATAAATTTAAACTATGAACCATTATCAACATAACAAATAAGCATTACAGATATCAATCTAAACACTTGTTAATGTGGCACAAATGTTCCATTTCGTCTTCAAACTGTGCTTGACATCGTTCACATTCATAATTTGTCATTTTCTTGCTATTCTCCACCAGTTTTGATTTGACCCCCGTCATTGAGCTTGATGCTATAAGTTCTGACTCTATGAATGAAGAAGATGACTCAACAGGTGATGATGGTTTTGTTATCTTTGTTGGTTTCACTGGGGCTTGTAATTTGTCCTGCGGCTTGTGAGACTTTGACTTGCCTTGTTCTAATTGCTTGTAAAGGTGAGTCACCTAAAATTGAAAATAAATCAAATATGATAGACGATTTGATATCTGAATATCTGACATGAAAAAACATTCTTTTCTAGAAAAGCGATATTGTTGACTTAAGTTTTTTTTCTTGATTTATATATTTTTCTCTGTTTCAGTGATCGATGAAACAGAGTTGAGATCTCCAATAAGTTAAACCACATTCTTTGTGTGCCTGCCAAGCAAAAGGCCTGTAATTATACTCTCCTCAATTTAGTGAACAACCTGCAACTAATTGCAACACAAAGTTTTTCTCTGAAAAACAGGTCTGTTACTATCTATGAACAACATACTAAAAATCTACAAAAATATATATTGCGGAAGTTTTTGGTTATAAAACTAAGGTTATCTGAGTTGTTTCCCCTTATTTGGCAAAGTTAAAAAAATTAAATCTTACAAAAAATGTTCTGTATTTTTTTAAAAACAGCCTTAATAATTAATAAGGTATAACATATAATTTTCCCAATTTAAAAGAAAAGTATAACAAATGAATCACTATCCTTTCTCACTATTTGTATGTTTTTATAAAGATGTAGACCGATTGTGTTCTGCAATTTTACAAATCCAAGATTCTAATTCTCCAACAACAGTGTTAGTGTAAAACCTACAATTGGTAAACAGAACTTTAATTCAACCATCTTTGTCACAATCTTAATCTGTATTTGAAAGAATTCTGTCTGAGGCACCGACAGTTCAATTTTTTTGTTGGGTGAGGGAATGTTTTTTTCCCTCGAAAAACATGCTTTGTCCTTTATAAAAAACTTAATTTTTTGAAATTCAAAGTCTTTAATGTATTTATTTCCCCATACCTTATAAAGACAAGAGTGCACACGCTGAAATGTCTCGCCTTCTTTACTAATCATTGATATTATGTTGATAGTCCTAAATATAAAGCTTAATTACAACTGTCAAATAAACTTAACATTAACCAAGAAAACTAAACATTGACCAATGAACCATGAAAATGAGGTCAAGGTCAGATGAACCATGCCAGGCAGACATGTACAGTTAACAATTCTTCCATATAACAAATATAGTTGACCTATTGCTTATAGTTTAAGAAAAACAGACCAAAACACAAAAACTTAACACTGAGCAATGAACCGTGAAAATGAGGTCAAGGTCATATAAAACCTGCGCTACTGACATATAGATCATAAAATATTTCCATACACCAAATATAGTAGACCTATTGCATATAGTATTAGAAAAAAAGACCAAAACTCAACAACTTAACTTTGACCATTGAACCATGAAAACGAGGTCAAGGTCAGATGACACCTACCAGCTAGACATGTACACCTTACAATCATTCCATACGCCAAATATAGTAGACCTATTGCATACAGTATAAGAAAAACAGACCAAAACACAAAAACTTAACTATAACCACTGAACCATGAAAATGAGGTCAAGGTCAGATGACACCTGCCAGTTGGACATGTACACCTTACAGTCCTTCCATACACCGAATATACTAGACCTATTGCTTATAGTATCTGAGATATGGACTTGACCACTAAAACTTAACCTTGTTCACTGATCCATGAAATGAAGTCGAGGTCAAGTGAAAACTGTCTGACGTACATGAGGACCTTGCAAGGTACGCACATACCAAATATAGTTATCCTACTACTTATAATAAGAGAGAATTTAACATTACAAATAAAATGCTCCGCTGGGGCGCAGCTTGATACGACCGCAGAGGTCGAACCCTGAACAGTTGGGGCAAGTATGGACACAACATTCAAGCTTGATACAGCACTGAATTTGGATTGTAATTAAATATTTGACACAGCATAGGTTTCTGACACAGAATGAAAGTGGTCTAAGAACTTAAAAATTTTCAATTTACCTATTCATACATGTGATGGACTGTGAAACTCAGATCAGGAGGTTTTTAATCGACATTAATTTTGTTGTAAATGTAACCGTGTGCTGTAAAAATGGTCTTTTAAAGTGTGTTTTCTTCAACTTTCCATCCAATTTATTATGTTTATAGTACCCTTGTACTTATAAAGTTTCTCCATCTTTATATTCTACATGTTCAATCTAACATTGTTTTTTCCAGTATGTTCTTTAAATTTTTTACTTCATATTCTATAAAACAATCATTGCACCCAGAACATTTGTTTAGCTATCTGCAAATAGTTTTTATTTTTTTTTTTTTTTCTCTTGCAAATAGTTTTTATTTGCAAACTCAGAAAATCATTTTATCTGTAAATTTAGGGTCATAATTATTATATAAATTTCAATTTAAGCCTTGAAAGGAAGTATAGAATCCTCAAATAATTTTCAAATTATTATTTTTTTATTTGTCCTAAGACATTTAAAATCATTTAATAACCATCCTTTTATGATTATTTGTTCAATTTATATTTTATTTATATTCTTTTAAAAATTTTCATTATTAAAAGGAAAGTAACTTAAAACAGGATAAATCAAGGGAAGTAACCCAATAAATACACAGTTTTTGTTACACAACGGCAGTTAGCCTGAGGTAAAAATCGTTGATTACCTGTATGTTTGACACCAAAGCTGACAAGTGAAGCCATATAATTATGCATGTTAATTGATTTACAGGTAAAATATAACTTCAGGTAATGTCAGTTACACCAGATGCATGAGATGATATGTTGGGCAGAAATTTTTCATTCATGAAAAATTTCATACACGGGATTTTTTCCTCTTCAACGGGAGGTCGGGAGGAGACCCCTGAAAACGGGATTATTGTACTCCCGTCGGGAGGTTCACATGTATGCCTATTCAAACCATATCATTATTATTTGCTTTTATATATAAATCAGAAATAACCAATTTAAAATGGAAAAGAAAAAAAAGGGAAAAAAAATCCCCCCCCCCCCCAATTTTTTGAACCCCCTTATGATTCATCACCCCCAAACTCTATCCCAGCTTTCCCTTTGTGGTATGGTACCTTGCAGTACAATTTCAGAGAGATTCATACACTTGAACACAAGTTATTGTCTGGAAACTAGAAAAATGCTTGTTTTTTGGCCCCTTTTTGGCCCCAAATTCCTAAACGTTTAGGGCAATTACCCCCAAACTCAATTCCAGCTTTCCCTTTGTGATATGGAACCTTGCAGTACAATTTCATAAAGATCCATACACTTACACACAAGTTATTGTCCTGAAACTAGAAAAATGCATGTTTTTTTTGCCCTTTTATGGCCCCTAATTACTAAAATTTTGAGGGAAAACCCCCAAAATCAATCCCAGCCTTCCCTTTGTGATATGGAACCTTGTAGTACAATTTCATAAAGATCCATACACTTACAAACAAGTTATTGTCATGAAACTAGAAAAATGCTTGTTTTTTGCCCCTTTTTGGCCCCTAATTCCTAAAATTTGGAGGAAATTACCCCAAAAATCAATCCCAGTATTCCCTTTGTGATATGGAACCTTGTAGTACAATTTCATAAAGATCCATACACTTACAAACAAGATATTGTCATGAAACTAGAAAAATGCTTGTTTTTTGCCCCTTTTTGGCCCCTAATTCCTAAAATTTGGAGGCAATTACCCCCAAAATCTATCCCAGCATTCCCTTTGTGATATGGAACCTTGTGGTACAATGTCAGAGAGATCCATACATTTACACACAAGTTATGTCTGGAAGTTACAAAAATGCTTATTTTTGGCCCCTTTTGGCCCCTAATTCCTTAACTGTTAGTACCATAACCCCCAAAATCAATCCCCACCTTCCTTTTGTGGTATTGAACCTTATGGTAAAATTTCATTGAGATCCATTCACTCAAACTAAAGTTAGAGTGCGAAAACTAATGTGTATTCGGACGACGACGCCGGACGACGACGACGCCGGACGACGACGACGACGACGACGACGACGACGACGACGCCAACGTCATACCAATATACGACCACAAAATTTTTTTTGCGGTCGTATAAAAATGTTAACTTTTTTTTCAAGTAGTCACTGAACCATGAAAATGAGGTCAAGGACATTGGACATGTGACTGACGGAAACTTTGTAACATGAGGCATCCATATACAAAGTATGAAGCATCCAGGTCTTCCACCTTCTAAAATATAAAGCTTTTAAGAAGTTGGCTAACGCCGCCCCCGCCGGATCACTATCCCTATGTCGAGCTTTCTGCGACAAAAGTTGCAGGCTCGACAAAAACAAGCATTATTTATTCATTTCTCTTCTAAAACAAACATTTTTCAAAAGATTTAGAATTCAACAATTTATTTCATAGAAGAAAATACGTTAAATACGTACAAACTAATTATTGGAGTATTGTTACTATATTAAGGAGTCAGAATAGCTAGAATTTTTTTAATTAAAGGTCTATAGTAGGGGGTTCAATATACTGCAGTGGGGTCAAAATACCATGGCTAAGTAAAATTATCAAAACATCTTTTCAAGCATGTAAAATAGATACAATCTACTTATTAGAGTATAATAACTATGTAAAGGAGCTAGAATAGCTAGAATTTTGAAATTGGAGATGCAAAAAGGGGGGGGGGTGGTTCAATATACCATATGGCAGAGGGGTCATAATACCATGGTTAAGTAAAATTTTCAAAACATCTTCTCAAGCATGTAAAATACATCCAAACTACTTATTGGAATATTATAACTATGTAAAGGAGTTAGAATAGCTAGAATTTTTAAAATAAGAGGTCTATAGTAGGGGGTTCAATATTCCGCAGGGGGGGTCAAAATACCATAGCTAAGTAAAATTTTCAAAACATTTTTTCAAGCATGTAAAATACATTCAAACTACTTATTGGAGTATTATTACTATGTTAATGAGTTAGAATAGCTAGATTTTTTGAAATTAGAGGTCTATAATAGGGGGTTCAATATACCGCAGGGGGGTCAAAATACCATGGCTAAGTAAAATTTTCAAAACATCTTTTCAAGCATGTAAAATACATACAAACTACTTATTGGAGTATTATTACTATGTTAATGAGTTAGAATAGCTAGATTTTTTGAAATTAGAGGTCTATAATAGGGGGTTCAATATTCCGCAGGGGGGTCAAAATAACATGGCTAAGTAAAATTTTCAAAACATCTTTTCAAGCATGTAAAATACATACAAACAACTTATTGGAGTATTATTACTATGTTAATGAGTTAGAATAGCTAGATTTTTTGAAATTAGAGGTCTATAATAGGGGGTTCAATATACCGCAGGGGGGTCAAAATACCATGGCTAAGTAAAATTTTCAAAACATCTTTTCAAGCATGTAAAATACATACAATCTACTTATTGGAGTATTATTACTATGTTAATGAGTTAGAATAGCTAGATTTTTTGAAATTAGAGGTCTATAATAGGGGGTTCAATATTCCGCAGGGGGGTCAAAATAACATGGCTAAGTAAAATTTTCAAAACATCTTTTCAAGCATGTATAATACATACAAACTACTTATTGGAGTATTATTACTATGTTAATGAGTTAGAATAGCTACTTATTGGAGAATTATTACTATATAAAGTAGTCAAAATAGCTATAATTTTTTTAATTAAAGGTTTATAGTAGGGGGTTCAATATACTGCAGGGGGATCAAAATACCTTGGCTAAGTAAAATTTTCAAAATATCTTTTCCAGCATGTTAAATACATACAAACTACTTATTGGGAGTATTATTACAATTCAAATGAGCTAGAATAGCTACACTTTTGAAATTGGAGGTGCAAAAGGGGGGTTCAATATACCATGGCAGGGGGGTCAAAATACCATGGTTAAGTAAAATTTTCAAAACATTTTTTCAAGCATGTAAAATACATACAAACTACTTATTGGAGTATTATTACTATGGTAATGAGTTAATACTCCAATAAGTAGTTTGTATGTATTTTTCATGCTAGATAAGACATTTTGAAAAATTATACTTAGCCATGCATGGTATTTTGACCCCCCTGTGGTACATTGAACACCCTACTATAGATTTCTAATTTCAAAATATCTAGCTATTCTAATTCCTTAACATAGTAATAATACTCCAAAAAGTAGTTTGTATGTATTTTAAATGCTTGAAAAGATGTTTTGAAAATTTCACTTAGCCATGGTATTTTGACTCCACTGCAGTATATTGAATCCCCTACTATAGACCTCTAATTTCAAAAAACTTGCTATTCTAACTCATTAACATAGTAATTATACTCCAATAAGTAGTTTGTATGTATTTTACATGCTTGAAATATGTTTTGAAAATTTTATTTAGCCATGTTATATTGACCCCCCCCCCTTTTTACACTTCAAATTTCAAATATCTGGCAATTCTAACTCTTGTATATAGTAATTATACTCCAATAAGTAGTTTGTATATATTTAACTGGCTTGAAAAAATATTTGAAAAATTTTACTTTGCCATGTTATTTTGACCCCCCTAAAAATATTTTAAAAATTTTACTTTGCCATGTTATTTTGACCCCCCTGCCATTGTATATTGAACCCCCTACTATAGACCTTAAATGATTTCAAAAATTCTAGCTGTTATAACTACTTTACATAGTAATAATACTCCAATAAGTAGTTTGTATGTATTTCTTGAAAAGATGTTTAGAAAACTTCACTAAGCTATGGTATTTTGACCCCCCTGCCATGGTATATTGAACCCCCCCCCTTTTACACCTCCAATTTCAAAAATCTAGCTATTGTAACTCATTTGAATTGTAATAATACTCTCAATAAGTAGTTTGTATGTATTTTACATGCTTAAAAGGTGTTTTAAAAATTTCACTTAGCCATGGTATTTTGACCTCCCTGCGGTATATTGAACCCCCTACTATAGACCTCTAATTTAAAAAAAGTCTAGCTATTCTAACTCATTAACATAGTACTGGTAATAATACTCCAATAAGTAGTTTGTATGTATTTTACATGCTTGAAAAAATGTTTTGAAAATTTTACTTAACCATGGTATTTTGACCCCCCTGCCATGGTATATTGAACCCCCCTTTTGAACCTCCAATTTCAAAAGTGTAGCTATTCTAGCTCATTTGAATTGTAATAATACTCCCAATAAGTAGTTTGTATGTATTTAACATGCTGGAAAAGATTTTTTGAAAATTTTACTTAGCCAAGGTATTTTGACCCCCCTGCAGTATATTGAACCCCCTACTATAGACCTTTAATTAAAAAAATTATAGCTATTCTGACTTCTTTATATAGTAATAATTCTCCAATAAGTAGTTTGTATGTATTTAACATGCTGGAAAAGATGTGTTGAAAATTTTACTTAGCCATGGTATTTTGACCCCCCTGTGGTATATTGAACCCCCTACTATAGACCTATAATTTCAAAAGTTCTAGCTATTCTAACTCCTTTACATAGTAATCATACTCCAATAAGTTGTTTGTTTGTATTTTACATGCTTGAAAAGATGTTTTGAAAATTTCACTTAGCCATGGTATTTTGACCCCCTTACAGTATATTGAACCCCCTACTATAGACCTCTAATTTCAAAAATTCTGGCAACTCTAAACTCATTCACTTAGTAATAATACTCCAATAAGTATTTGTATGTATTTTACATGCTTGAAAAGATGTTTTGAAAATTTCACTTAGCCATGGTATTTTGACCCCCCCCCCCCCCCACCCCCTTTGTGGTATATTGAACCTCCTACTATAGACCTATAATTTCAAAAATTCTAGCTATTCTAACTAATTAACATAGTTATAATACTCCAATAAGTAGTTTGTATGTATTTTACATGCTTGAAAAGATGTTTATTAAAATTTAATTAAGTTATGGTATTTTGAACCCCTGCCATGGTATGTTGAACCCCCCTTTACACCTCCAATTTCAAAATTCTAGCTATTGTAACTCATTTAAATTGTTACAATACTCCCTATAAGAAGTTTGTTTGTATTTAACATGCTGGAAAAAATGTTTTGAAAATTTTATTTTTGAAATTTAACTGTCCCATGGATTATAATTTGACCCCTCCCCCTTTTTTACCATGGAAAATTAAAACTACCCTTATATATATACATTTGTATTTGTTATAATTTCAAATAATTAAAGCGTTCAAGCTACATGGTGTAGTTATAATGCCTCAAGAAGTTTTTTGAATGAAATTTTGTTGGTAAAGACTTCATGGACTTCAGAGCACTTATACCAAGCAAAGATATTTCTTATAACCAATTATGGAAAATTGACCTCCCCTTCTTGTATGAATGATTTTTAATCTATGGAAAGCTTTAGAATAGTGTATAATGTTCTAATAATCATCTAAAATGAAAAAAAACAGGGGGGTTCAATTTACCATGGGGGGTCAATTTTCCATACAGGGGGGGGTTCAATTTACCATAGCGGTATTTTGACCCCGGGGTCAATTTACCATGGGGTTCAAAATACCATATGACAGCGGGGCCAAATTATCTCCGTGGAAATGAGATGTGCCAATGCTAATACAAAGTTCTGCATTTTAAATATCATTGACCTACCACAAGTGGTTCCCATAAAACTAACTTAATCACAAACTAATACATATAAACTAAGCAAAAGTTTCAAAGTCAATAGACCATGACAAAAGGGGCAGGGCTAAATAATCTCCATGGAAATGAGATGTGCAAATGCTAATACAACTGCATACCAAATATCATTTGACCTACCACTAGTGGTTCCCCATAATCTGACCTAATCACAAACTAATACATTATTGCTGATGCCGCCGCCGGAATCAGCAAACCTATGTCTCGCTTTTTGACTCGTCAAGACTAGACAAAAACCGAAACCATGTTTCTATAATTCTAAAATTTCAAAGTTGACGCAGGTTAAGTATTTACAGAGACTTCATAGATATGCATCCTAAAAGAATAGTAATGTGCGATATGAGTGTCAATTCTAAAATTTCACAGGGGACGAAAGTTAAGTTATTACAACAGAGACTGCGTAGACAAACATCCTAAATGAATACCACTGTATGATTTGAACTGATATAATTCTAAAATTTCAAAATTGACGAGGGTTAAATAATTACAACAGAGGCTGCGTATTTATACATCCCAATTGGTGATGTTTTTACGAAAATTTGCATACAAGCTATTTTTCACTTAGTCAAAAATTAATCTGTGATTTTTTCATAAAAAATGCAACAAATAATCTTCATACAGTATCAAGTAAAATGTTGTTTTTAAAATGATGGGTCTATGTGCTCGTTTTCAAGCTAATGATTTTAATCATTTGAAAAATGCATCTTTCCCCATTTGTCAACAGTTTGACGTTGCGAAAAATAACATTTTATGTGATTAATGTCATTATCTCCCCTGTAACTGTATCGTATGCCCTTAAATTTCAAACTTGACGAAGGTTAAGTAATTACAACAGAGGCTGCACATTTGTGCATCCCAAATGAAAAGCACTGCATGATTAGAACAATACCTTTTCATTGAGCCCATTTGGTGCCAACGTTTTTAATTTTCTCATCCAAAATCTTTCCAAACTTATTCTCTCCTCCCTAGACCAAGCACTGTTGTGGTCAATGATGGTAATAATCAGTCGATTGAGATCTGCCTTAATGTAGCCATGGGATCTCTAATGTCGACTGAGAGAAAGGTCTGGCTTACTTTCATAGGCACTACGATGATTCATAGGTTTGTGAAATGGCTGTTCTGACTCACTAATGTACTGTTTACCACATTTACACTGTAGGAAATACACAGTATTTCTAGTTTTGTAAGTAACATTGCAAAATATGATGTATTTCATACCAGCTGAGTGACTGTTAAAAGTCTGGGTATTCAGTATTTGCTTGCAAGTAAGACATCGTTTGTTCCCACAACCCTTGCAAAAGCTTGTTGACGAAGATCCAGGCTTAGAGGATAAATCTGCTCTCAACAGCAAATCTTTAAGGCTTTTAAAGATCTTGGATACTTTCTGACATTTTTTTTATTTCTTTCCAATTTTTGTATATAATGTATGATAATTTGTCAAATTTAGGATGGTAAATCAGCACAAAAGGGACTCATTTGTTGACCTTTTTCTCTTTATATTGTAAAAGTTCATCTGGACTGATGCTGTTAGAACGTGAGAAACCTCTATCAAAATCTTTTCTTTTGTACCCCGATTTTTTAGGTGACCACCAAGCTCTTGTAATTTCACAGTATCATTGATAGAGCAAATTCACTTTATTCTGATGGCCTGGCGGTACTGATTGCAGTGCTTAAATTTGGATGACAACTCAGGGGAGAAAGATATTGATGTTTGTCTGTGTCCCAGGGTTTGCAATACAATTTTGTAAATATAATTCCATCCTTCACTTGTGTAGCAGCGTAAAGAAATGTGATCTTAGAGTCAGAGATTTCATAAACGAATTTTATTGAGGGATGGACATCTTTGGCATGTTGAATGAAGGCATTAAGTTCTTGTTCAGTATTAACACACTTCATGTCAATATTGTTGATGAATCGAAACCAAGAGAGTGGTTGATAAAGGGAAGTAATTCAGAGCTTCACATAGTTTCACTAAGACCATATATTATCCTTATTTGTTAACAACAATGTGTTGTATGGTTGCTGTCTCTATGAAATTTATCCCACATCACTTTTTAATAAAATTCTTATTTGTTTCATAACACCTGTAACATAATTCTCTCACACATTCAGTTAATAATTTGAATAAATAGTTTTGATAAATAAAATCAGGTTTCTCCCTTTAACTCATGATCACTAGCAATTAACATTAAACATTGTTAAAATAAATTACCTTAGCCTTCAATAATGTGATTTCTGTCTCCATTCTCTGTTGTTTAACCTTATCTTCTTTCAATTCTGCCTCTACCTTTAAGCACTTAGCATTTTCATGCTTGTACATTTCCCTAAATTTTGTTTGCTAAAATACAAAAAAAAATGTATATGTATCACATTCATTTCATTGTGTTCTGATAATGACTTCAAAGATGGCTTAAGAAAAGAAATTAAAGACCTTTCATGATACTTGGGAGTCACCTGTAAGTTCTTCTGCTAGGCAAAAGCTACATTATCCTGGACAAAAATTGTGACAATATTCATTTAACAAGACCAATACAAGGTCTGGACCTGTGTTGCTGCATGCAATTGATAGAGGTAACATGTATACTCGAGCATAACTGATCATCTATCCCTTTCATTGAAACCAAGAAAATTTTCTTGTATAATGAGTGTTGTAAAATTTCAAACTATGGTCAAACAGGAAGTGGCTACAGTGCCCATGTGAAAATTGCTTACTGGCTGCAACTCCAACATTATCAAGCTTCAGACCAAATATAAAATCATTCTCTTCAGTAGGAGCCATGAAAAGTTTGAAGAAAATTTTCCTTGTACAATGAGTGTTGTAAAATTTCAAAATATGGACAAACAGGAAGAGGCTGCACGGTGGATTTAAAAATTGCTTACCTGCTACAACTCAACATTATCAAGCTGCAAACCAAATATTAAATCATTGCTTTCATAGAAGCTTGGTTTTGACAATATAACAAAATTCTATTTTTTATTTCATTCAACTACAAAATATGGCTGCTGGTGAAATTTCCTGTGCCAACATTTTCACATTTTCAATCATGACTAGTCTGTTTAGTTTCTCTCTATCTTTCTTAGGTTTTGCTCAAAACACAAAAGAGCGTAAAAAAACATGCTCATTTAAGGGCAATCACTCCTGTCAAGATTATATTGGCAATAACTATATTGGCAAAATTTGACTTGTTAGTAGATCTTGCCTTGCTGATCATTTTTGTGATTTAAAGTGTCTATTTATCTATTATAATTTTTATCATAAAAGGCAAAATGCAAAAAAAATGGTAAAAATGTCATTAATGGGCAATAACTGTAATAAGAAGTCATCGGACAATTTCCTCCAAATTGTCTTAATTGTAGATCTTATCTTGATGATCATTTCTGCTTATTTAAGTTTCTATCTATCTATTATAATTTTTAAGATATAAGGCAAAAAACACAAAAAATTGGTAAAAATAGTCATCAAAGGGCAATAACTCTAATAAGGAGTCGACTGACAATTTCGGCCATGGAGACTTATTTGTAGAACTTGTCTTGTTGATCTTTTTTGCATCTTAAAGTTTCTCTCTATCTATCATAATTTTTAAGATAATAGGCAAAAATGAAAAAAATTTGTCATTTAAGGGCAATATCTCCTATAAGAAGTTGTCCGACAGTTTTGACATATAAGGACAATTGGTAGAGCTCAATATTCTGAACATTTTTGCGCCAGTCAGCTTTTCTCTATTTATAACAGTTTTCAAAATAATAGACAAAACTCGCATTTTATCCTTATGTTCTATTTTTAGCCATGTCGGCCAACTTGTTTGGCAGGCGGGGTCATCTGACACATTTTTTAAACTAGATACCCCAATGATGATTGTGGGCAAGTTTGGTTAAATTTGACCAAGTAGTTCATTGGAGAAATTTTTTGTAAAAGTTAACGACGACGACGGACGCCAAGTGATGAGAAAAGCTCACCTGGCCCGTTTCTGGCAATTTTTTGGACCCTAATTCCTACACAGTTAAGACAATAACCCCCAAAATCAACCCAACCATCACTTTGAGGTATGGAACCTTGTGGTACAATTTCATAGAGATCCATACAATTATACTCAAGTTATTGTCTGGAAACCAAATGTCTTCAGACGAAAATGACAACAACATCTTATCATTATAAACAAGCATTCTGAGAGTATTGCATGGCAATACATAGTCCCCTACCGGGTAAAAATTCATTATACTGGAACAAAAAGCTAACTTGTTCTATAACTTGTCATGGTGTAAACAAAAAGAAAATATCAAGTCAATATCTTCAAGCATGACTAAAAACAGTGTGGAAAACTGATTAAATGAGTGAATTTTTCAAGTCCAAGGACCATAACTCTGCACAAAATTATCAGACAGAAACAAATTTTTGAACTTGATCTGTAAAACTTGTCATGATAAAACTATATACCAATTATCAATCAATATCTTCAAGCATGATGAAATAAAATGCTTCGCTGGGGCGCAGCTTGATACGACCGCAGAGGTCGAACCCTGAACAGTTGGGGCAAGTATGGACACAACATTCAAGCTTGATACAGCTCTGAATTTGGATTGTTATTAAATATTTGACACAGCATAGGTTTCTGACACAGAAAGAATGTGGGCTAAGAACTTGAATTTTTGTAATTTACCTATTATGGTCCAATGTCCAAAATCAAAATACATGGTTAGATTCAGCATATCAAAGAACCCCATATATTCAATTTTTGTTAAAATCAAAAATAGTTTAATTTTGGACCCCAACTTGGACAAACTTGAAAACTGGGCCCATAATCAAAAATCTAAACACATGTTTAGATTCAGCATATCAAAGAACCCCAAGAAATCAATTTTTGCTAAAATCAAACTAAGTTTAATTTTGGACCCTTTGGACCTTAATGTAGACCAATTTAAAAAACGGGACTTAAAATTAAAAATCTAAATACACGGTTAGATTTGGAATATCAAAGAACCCCAATAATTCAATTTTTGATGAAATCAAACAAAGTTTAATTTGGACCCTTTTGACCTCAATATGAACCAATTTGATAGCGGGGCCCACAAATAAAAAATCTAAATTCATGGTTAGATTCAGCATATCAAAGAACCCCATATATTCAATTCTTGTTGAAATCAAAAAAAGTTTAATTTTGGACCCCAACTTGAAAACTGGGCCCATAATCAAAAATCTAAATACATGTTTAGATTCAGCATATCAAAGAACCCCATATATTCAATTTTTGTTGAAATCAAACAAAGTTTTAATACTGGACCCTATCTTGGACCAACTTGAAAACTGGGCCCATAATCAAAAATCTAAACACATGTTTAGATTCAGCATATCAAAGAACTCCAAGAATTCAATTTTTGTTAAAATCAAACTAAGTTTAATTTTGGACCCTTTGGACCTTAATGTAGACCAATTTAAAAAACAGGACCCAAAATTAAAAATCTAAATACACGGTTAGATTTGGAATATCAAAGAGCCCCAATAATTCAATTTTAGATGAAATCAAACAAAGTTTAATTTTGGACCCTTTTGACCTCAATATGAACCAATTTGATAACGGGGTCCACAAATAAAAAATCTAAATACATGGTTAGATTCAGCATATCAAAGAACCCCATATATTCAATTTTTGTTGAAATCAAATAAAGTTTAATTTTGGACCCCAATTTGGACCAACTTGAAAACTGGGCCAAAAATCAAAAATCAAAATACATGTTTAGATTCAGCATATCAAAGAACCTCATATATTCAATTTTTGCTAAAATCAAACAAAGTTTAATTTTGGACCCTTTGGACTTTAATGTAGACTATTTTGAAAACTGGACCCAAAATTAAAAATCTAAATACACTGTTAGATTCGGCATAACTAATAAATAAATGTGATCAAAGATTTTACAAATCTAATGCGCCATACTGTGCAATTAAAGATTACTTCTTGAAATTTTTCAATATTTGAAATTTGAAAAAAAAATAATATTTGAAGAATAATTCTTTTTAATTTCTGAAATCTGAAATGAGAAAAAATTGACCCCCCACAATTTCTTTTTATCCCCCCCCCTTTTTTCCCCAAAAAAATTCTTTCCCTCAAGATATGGTCATAATCTCAATTCAAATTTCCAATGGAGTTGGCAACCATAATTACCCATTTAATTTTACCATAGTGCTAACTTAATCTATTTTATAATAGAATTAAAAATATAGTGTCAAATCTTTCATATGGATTTTTTTGTAAAATAAAATGATGCAACATTTGCAGATATTTTTACTGGTCTTCCTTTATAAATATGCATTTCTTTAAACATAATTTAAAAGCAGTGTAAGGGAAGTAACCAAAACGTTGTATTTGGATTACCTCCCTTACACTGTTTTAAATTATCTTTATTGTTCATTAACCATTACTTTATACATAATTTAAAAGCAGTGTAAGGGAGATAATTTCAATGATGTATTTGATTTATCTCCCTTACACTGCTTTAAATTATGTTTTGTACTAAAGTATTTGTCCATTAACCAGGACAACCTTGTTTTCCCCCCTTTTTTGCCCCTAATTCCTAAAAGGTTTGAGCCATAACCCCCCAAAGCAAATCCTAACCATCCCTTTGTGGTATGGAAACTTGTAGTATAATTTCAGAGAGATCCATACACTGTTCCACAGTTATTGTCTGGAAACTAGAAAATGCTTATTTTTGGCCCCTTTTTGGCCCCTAATCCCTTAACTGTTGGTACCATAACCCCCAAAATCAATCCCAACCTTCCTTTTGTGGTATTGAACCTTATGGTAAAATTTCAAAAAGATCCATTCACTTAAACTAAAGTTAGAGTGCGAAAACCAATGTGTATTCGGACGACGACGCAGGACGCAGGACGCGGTCGTATAAAAAAGTGTGGAAAACACTTTAACATTAGATATGATGTAATACAGTGTATATCTATTTTCAGATTATAATCAAATATAATTAATAGCTCCAAATATTTTTTCTTTTATTTGTCACAAACTAATATAGATTTGTAACTTATCTATAAAATGTCAACAATTTTTATATACACAATGTAATGTAATATATACATTAATAAAAATAGATTATCTAATTAAAGGACTTCATATTTTTTTTATATATATATATAGCATTCAGAAAATTAGTTTATACAAAATAACAAACAAACCTGCCAAAAAATTCCTCAAATAATTTACCAAAGAATGTTTTTTTAAAAAATGAGATATCTCCCATTGTACAGAAATACAGGGTCTTTGCATCGGAATTAAACACATTTATTCTAAAACCAGTTTTTGGCATGACACAGGTTATGTTCTTCTCATATATTTTATGACGGTATAATACTAAACCCCTAACAGGAGGGATTGTGCCTGATATTCATATGATGAAGACATAATCTTTCAATCAGTTTTATTGAGGTCTGGAGCTGGCATGTCAGTAACTGCTAGTAGTCTGTTGTTATTTATGTATTATTGTCATTTTGTTTATTTTCTTTTGTTTCCTATTCTGACATCGGACTCGGACTTCTCTTATACTGAGTTTTACTATGTAAGACTACATTGGCTAGAGGTATAGGGGGAGGGTTGAGATCTCAAAAAACATGTTTTACCCTGCCGCATTTTTGCGCCTGTCCCAAGTCAGGAACCTCTGGCCTTTGTTAGTCTTGTATCATTTTTAATTTAAGTTTCCTGTGTATAATTTGGAGTTTAGTATGACGTCCATTATCACTGAACTAGTATACATATTTGTTTAGGGGCCAGCTGAAGGACGCCTCCGGGTGCTGGAGTTTCTCGCTGCATTGAAGACCCATTGGTGGCCTTCAGCTGTTGTCTGCTCTATGGTCAGGTTGTTGTCTCTTTGACACATTCTCCATTTCCATTCTCAATTTTATTAAACATAGTACTCTAACATTAGATATGGTCCAGAGTTATGGTCCATAACTCTGGACTAAATCATCAGACCAGAACAAAATTCAAACTTGATCTATAACTTGTCATGGCAAAACTATATACCAAATATCAAATCAATATCTTCAAGAACGAAGAAAAAAAGTGTGGAAAGCTGATTTGCCGGACTGACGGATGGACAGACGGACAGAGTGAAAACCTTAAGTCCCCTTCGACTTCGTCTCTGGGTGCAGCTTGATACGACCGCAGAGGTCGAACCCTGAACAGTTGGGGCAAGTATGGACACAACATTCAAGCTTGATACAGCACTGAATTTGGATTGTGATTAAATATTTGACACTGCATAGTTTTCTGACACTGAATGAATGTGGTCTAAGAACTTAAAATTTTTTAATTTACCTATTCAAACCATATCATTATTATTTGCTTTTATATATAAATCAGAAATAACCAATTTAAAATAGAATATTTTAAAGAAAAAAAAAGGAAAAAAAAATCCCTCCCCCAAATTTTTTGAAACCCCCTTATGATTCATTACCCCCAAACTCAATCCCAGCCTTCCCTTTGTGGTATGGTACATTGCAGTACAATTTCAGAGAGATCCATACACTTGAACACAGTTATTGTCTGGAAACTAGAAAAATGCTTGTTTTTAGGCCCCTTTTTGGCCCCAAATTCCTAAACGTTTAGGGCAATTACCCCCAAACTCAAACCCAGCTTTCCCTTTGTGATACGGAACCTTGTAGTACAATTTCATAAAGATCCATACACTTACACACAAGTAATTGTCCTGAAACTAGAAAAATGCTTGGTTTTTGCCCCTTTTTGGCCCCTAATTCCTAAAATTTTGAGGCAATTACCCCCAAAATCAATCCCAGCCTTCCCTTTGTGGTATGGTACCTTGCAGTACAATTTCAGAGAGATCCATTCCCTTGAACACAAGTTATTAACTTGAAACTAGAAAAATGCTTATTTTTGGCCCCTTATTCCTAAACATTTTGGGCAATTACCCCCAAACTCAATTCCAGCTTTCCCTTTGTGATATGGAACCTTGTAGTACAATTTCAGAAAGATCCATACACTTACACACAAGTTATTGTCATGAAACTAGAAAAATGCTTGTTTTTTGCCCCTTTTTTGGCCCCTAATTCCTAAAATTTTGAGGCAATTACCCCCAAAACCAATCCCAGCATTCCCTTTGTGATATGGAACCTTGTGGTACAATGTCAGAGAGATCCATACACTAACACACAAGTTATGTCTGGAAGTTACAAAAATGCTTATTTTTGGCCCCTAATTCCTTAACTGTTGGTACCATAACCCCCAAAATCAAACCCAACCTTCCTTTTGTGGTATTGAACCTTATGGTAAAATTTCATAGAGATCCATTCACTTAAACTAAAGTTAGAGTGCGAAAACCAATGTGTCTTCGGACAACGACGACAACGCCAAACCAAAATTTTTTTGCGGTCGTATAAAAACCAATCATTGTAGCAACGCAAGCGAACAAGCAATTCTCTTTGAGGTCTCACCACTTCTCCCTATCAGTTTCAAAAAGAGAAGTCACTTCTCCTCAAGCTTTTTTACATTCTTAAATATAAAGCTGTATACATATAAATAGTTAATGTCCTCGAAAGCCGATAAGCATCCCTATGTCTGGGACAATCGCCTGTGGCAAGAAAAGTTAGGAAGAACAAACAGAAGATTGTTATTTGCATATATTAGAAAATAAAAGATAGCTTCTTACATGACTTACAGATGATACCAGTTTCTCATTGTCATTTTGAAGATTTTTTATCTCCCTTTGCAATTTTTCTGCCTCCTTTGTCAGATTTTCATTCTGTTTCTTTAACTGATCTTCATTTAGATGCTGTTCTAGTTCTGTTATTGTTTGTATACATTTAGCATAGTTATCTAATATCATCTGCAAAGATTGTACATAGTTTTGAATGTTTACAATCCATTAGTTTTGTGCTAAAAACATAACATGATACACAAAATTCTGAATAAATGTTTAGGTTGAATTGTAACAGTACAATGTAACATCCAAAGCATTATTTCTGTTCAACTTTTGTACAAATTATAAATACATGAAATATGTACCTGCATAAGACTGTATACTTTTTATGAAAAATAACACTTTGCAGAATATTTCAAATCAAAGATCTTTTACATTATTATTTTTTTAAGTTAATTAAGTTACGCTCTTTCATAATGCTGAAAGAGGTGACTATTGTATTATTTTTATCCTCTCCATCCTTTTCTTCCAATGTACAAAATGTATCTCAGCTTTCCTTCCAACTCTATACAATCAAAATATATAAAATCCTGATAACAGCTTCTGTCTACTATTATTATCAAAGATAGGCAAAGATACTAAAATTTAAAAAGAAATATAATTTAAGGGCAATTCCTCCTATAAAATACAATTGATGTTTCAATGTTTTAGCATTTTTGTAGCTCTTGTGTTGCTGATCATTTTGGCTGTTTACAGTTTCTATCTATTATAGTTTTAAGTTTATAGGCAAACACAATAAAAACTCCTATAAGATAGTCTGATAATTTTGGTGGAATGGTAGGTATATAGATAATGTCATCCTGAACATGTTTGCTCCCCCTGTTAGATTTTCAGCGCAAAGTGATAGAAAAAGCTTATAGTGGCCTTCCGTCAGATGAGCTAAAAATTATAAAAGCATATAAGTTTTACATTTTTCTCTTCCTCTAATGTCATGAGCTGATTTTTTAGTTGACAATTTTCTATTCTCATGTTATTGACTTCTTCGCTGAGTTTCTGGATGTCTGTTGCTTTATCCTACAACAGAAATGTGATTTCAATAGAGCAAATAAAGTCAAGTGTTCAATTTTACATTGGAAAGTTTCTGGATTTTGGGAGAAAGATAAAAATGTTGTTTCAGCCTCAGGTTGGATGGCAAGTTATCCTTTTTCAGAAATTGGTCAGTTTATTTTTAATATTCATTTTATAAATGTTCCTTCAGATTTTAAAATTGAAACTAGATGTGTCGTTCCGACACGAATGGCCCTGTCTCAAAAAGTTGAAAAATCTGCAATTTCAACAACACATGTGGACACAAACATGCATGGATAGTATCCAGCTCTCAAGACCAATACTAGTGTGATGAAAAATTTCCTTGATCAATGAGTAGTTAAATTTCAAACTATCAGCAAACAGGAAGTGGATGTCCTGAAGATGTGTTGAAACGACATGAAAATCAGCATATCAGAACGAAACATAAACTGTAACTCATCATGGCTAACTCACATACCAAAAGTCCAAAACCCGTAATTATGGCAAAAATCAGCAGAGCAGAACGAAACTCAAACTCGATCTGTAACTCATCATGGTTAACTCACATACCAAAAAATCAGCCCAATATCTAAAGGCATTTAGAAAAAAAGTCCTTATAACTGTGATTTTCAACAATTTATCAAAGTCCAAAGCTCGTAATTTCAGCAAAATTTAGCAGAGTGGAACGAAACTTAAACTTGATCTGTAACTCAACATGGTTAACTCACATACCAAAAATCAGCCCAATATCTGGAGGCTTTAGAAAAAAAGTCTGTACAACTGTGATTTTCAACAATTTATCAAAGTCCAAAGCCCGTAATTTCGGCAAAAATTAGCAGAGCGGAAGGAAACTTAAACTTGATCTGTAACTCATCATGGTTAACTCACATACCAAAAAATCAGCCCAATATCTGAAGGCGTTTAGAAAAAAAGTCCGTATAATGGTTTGTTGCGGAATGACAGAATGACGAAATGACAGAATGACAGTATGACAGTATGACGGAATGACAGAATGATGGAATGACAGAATGACGGAATGATAGAAAGACAGAATGACGGAATGACGGAATGACGGACAAGGGTAAAACTATATGGCCCTGACAACTTTGTTGCAGGGCCATACAAAATTAATATCTGTTTCTAAACTTTCTCTGTTACAATTTCCAGCATAATGGTAAGAGAGACAAGATATCGTGTTTGAAGTATACTGCTCTTAAACTGAAACTTTATAAGTTAAAAGCATCAAGAAATCAGACTAGTTGTTCTTTTCAAGAAATGTTTAAATGCATACCTTTAAAGTCCTTTCATTTGACCTCTTGTTGTCAAACTGCATGGTCAGTCCTTCTCTTTCATCTTTTACTAATTTCTTGTAGAAGGCTAAAGAGTTATTTAGCTCAGATATTTTATTCTGGTAATTTTCATTTTCCTTCTTCAAATCTTCAATACTTGAGGCCATGTCTTCTATTGTTGCTTTATCAATTTTCCCTTTCTGAACAAAATCAGATGAAATAAAATTTATCATACAACAAATTTGTTTTCCACATCAAAGTTCAGGGTCCATTTCCTTTTTGATAGGACATTACTTTACATAGTATTTTTACTTCCTTATCAGATAGTAATAGAAAGACAATATTGATGATGTTCAATTGGTTACTAGCCCCCTGTACTGTATGTCCTTTTTCCGAAATAAGTTCATTGGCTAGTCATGATATATCTAGTATATTAATGTGGGATTGAACACATAATTAGTCAAAATGATTCAAAAGTCAAATATTTTCTCGAGTTTCATGTTCATGTTCATGTTCATGAATATGCTTATTTTCTCTTTTTTAAACTTATTTTTGCTTACATTATACAGCCTTTTGGTGAGGACAATACATATAGATTCTACCACTGGATCAAGTGTGATACCATATTTATCCACTTGAGACAGCTGAATTTTAATATTTAAAACACAAGGTTTGCAGAGTAAAAAAAAATGGAGAATGTGTCCATGGGACACAGATGATGCCCCCGCTTGCATATATAACGTTATAAAGGGACATAACTAGAGAACTGTAAAAGTAACATCACCCAAATTTGAACTTGATCTGTGTTTTTTAGTAATAAGCATTGTGTATAAGTTTCATAACATTTGGTTAAGGCAAACTAAAGTTAAAGAACTGAAACAAAAAATTCAGTAATTTTTCCACATATAAAGGGGCATAACTCCACAACGGTAATAGTGATGCCACCCAAATTCGAATTTCATCTGTGTTTTGTGGTAATAAGCAATGTGCATAAGTTTCACAACATTTGGTTCAGGCAAACTAAAGTTAGAGAATGGAAACCAATTTTGGGAAGTACGTACATACATATGTACAGACGGACGGACAAGGGTAACACTTCATGCCCCCCCCCTCCCCCCTCCCCCCACCGCCGCGGCGAGGGGCAAAAAAATATTCAAAATTTAAATGTCAAGAGTGGATAAATATCATATTGCAGGCATTTTGGTGGTGGAATCTGTTTCTCTTATGATTTATAGATGATATCAAATATCAAGACAAACTTTCAATGATCTTCAAAAAGATGTTTTCTTTATATGTGACATCATCAGACATGGTCACCTTTTTTCATAATGTCACAATAAGAAGTTCAGAGGATAGCAAGAAAATTTGATGTCATAATTGAATTTTGATCAATTAAGAAATTAGATCAAATGAATCACAAGTTGATTATAAAACAAGAGTGCACATGCTGAAATGTCTCGCCTTCTTTACTAATCATTGATATTATGTTGATAGTCCTAAATATAAAGCTTTCTTACAACTGTCACATAAACTTAACATTAACCAAGAAAACTAAACATTGACCAATGAACCATGAAAATGAGGTCAAGGTCAGATGAACCATGACAGGCAGGCATGTACAGCTAACAATTCTTCCATACAACAAATATATTTGACCTATTGCTTATAGTTTAAGAAAAACAGACCAAAACACAAAAACTTAACACTGAGTAATGAACTGTGAAAATGAGGTCAAGGTGAAATAAAACCTGCGCGACTGACATAAAGATCATAAATTATTTCCATACACCAAATATAATTGACCTATTGCATATAGTATTAGAAAAAAAGTCCAAAACTCAAAATCTTAACTCTGACCAATGAACCATGAAAATGAGGTCAAGGACAAATGACACCTGCCAGACAGACATGTACACCTTACAATCATTCCATACACCAAATATAGTGGACCTATTGCTTATAGTATTAGAAAAACAGACCAAAACACAAAAATGTAACATTGACCAATGAACCATGAAAATGAGGTCAAGGACAAATGACACCTGCCAGACAGACATGTACACCTTACAATCATTCCATACACCAAATATAGTTGACCTATTGCTTATAGTATTAGAAAAACAGACCAAAACACAAAAACTTAACATTGACCAATGATCCATGAAAATAGGTCAAGGACAAATGACACCTGCCAGACAGACATGTACACCTTACAATCATTCTATACACCAAATATAGTTGACCAATGGCTTATAGTATTAGAAAAACAGACCAAAACCAAATATAGTTATCCTATTACTCATAATAAGTGAGAAATTTACATAACAAAAAAACTAAACTTTTTTTTCAAGCAGTCGCTGAACCATGAAAATAAGGTCAAGGACATTGGACATATGACAGACGGAAAGTTCGTAACATAAGGTATCTGCATACAAAGTATGAAGCATCCAGGTCTTCTACCTTCTGAAATATAAAGCTTTATACAAATAGTTTACGCCGCCGTCGCCGCCGCCGGATAGTAATACCTATGTCTCACTTTCTGCGACTTTTGTCGCAGGCGAGACAAAAAATGAAAGAACCATTGTGAACATGCTCAAATACCCCACATTGCCACTAGGCAAACAGAATCTCACCAGATTCCAGTTCAAAGACTCATAACTCCTACAAAAGTCAACTGATAAAAACTTTTGAGGATATGCACGTCTACATATTATGTCCTAACTACAAAGTTGCATGAAATTTTGTTGTGTGGTTTCAGAAGAGTTGGGCTGACAAACTGTTGTAGTAGTATACTTAGGTAAAAATTCTAAGTTCAAAGGGGCATAACCTCTAGAAAAAACATTGAATCATAATTTTCTGTCAATTACCACTTATACATAATATGTCCTTATTACCTACAAAGTTTCATGAAATTCTGTTATGTGGTTTCAGAGGAGTTGCACTGACACTTAAACTGTGGCAGTGGTATATCATGGCCAAAATTCTAAGTTCAAAGGGGCATAACTCCTATAAAAAAACAATGAATCATAATATCCTGTTGATACGCACATCTGCATAGGATGTCTTTATCAAATTCTGTTGTGTGGTTTCAGAGGAGTTGCAATGACAAACTGTTGCAGTAGTATATTATGGACAAAATTTTAAATTCAAAGGGACAAAGCGGATTGACAAAAGGATGGCTGGACAGGTAAAAAAACATTATACACCACGCAACTTTGTTGTGTGGGGTATAATAATGAGCCGATTGGGACAAGTATTAATCTTGCAAAAATTAGAGAAATGGTTTTATCTACTAATAAAACCATGTATTGACAGATATGAAAAGGCTTTTTATTATACATCATTGTCTTCAATTTTTGAGCTGGAAGTTAACACATTTCTCACATAATTTCTGTGTTGAAAAGTAAGCTGAAATTAAGAAATGTTCCTGCTGTTGATAATGCTATTAGGCATTAACTTTTATGACATCATTAACTCTTTAAACAAAACAAGCTTTCAATAGCTATGAGTACTCTTATTTCTGTGCTTTGTTCTATTGTTTTTATGTTAGTTGTTTTTGTGACTTGTACATATCTTTTGAGTTAAGCCAACTGCTACTGATTTTTACAGTTTGATCTTATGTTGTGCTGTTACAACACTGTCCCAGGTTAGGGTGAGGGTTGAGTGCTCACAAACATGTTAAACCCCGCCACATTCTTTATGTACCTGTACCAAATCAGGAGCCTGTAGTTCAGTGGTTGTCGTTGGTTCATGTCTATTATATTTGTTTTGTTATAAATAAGCCCGTTGGTCTTCTCGTTGAATTGTTTCACATTTTTCATGTCAGGCCTTTTATAGTCTGCTCTACGGTATGGGTTTTTCTAATTGTTGAAGGACATACAGTTGCCTATAATTGCTTACATTCACTTCATTTGAACTCTGGTGGATAGTTGTCTCATTGGCAATCATACTACATATCCTTTATTTTTATAAAGAAATGCGTTTTCAAATTATCAGATATTGTTTTGTAACAAATTAAAATATAATTAGCCCAAATCAAAACCTATCGTGCTCTAGAAATATCTTATCAAGACAATTTAGAAAATATATATATAGTTAAGAGGTGGGAATCTGAATAATTCTTTTTAGATACTGGAATTGACCCCTGTGAGGTTACGACTAAAAGCACAGAAAAGTCCTTGCTATTGTAAGAATATACATGATTTTGAGTGGACATGAAAATCAACTATTAACCTTGAGGTCAAAGGTTAATGTCAGAGGTCATCTTCAATGGTATGTAACACACCGTCTTGAAGTGAAGCAACCATGTACCAAATATCAAAAGGTTATATCAACAGATTAGAAATATGTGTTCCAAGCAAGAAAATGCCCCCCCCCCCCCCCCCAAAAAAAAATCCTCTATTTTTTACCTTGAGATAAAAGGTCAAGGTCACATTAAGGCCATGATGACATTAAACACACCTTCTTATGGTAATAAAACTTTGTAGGGCAATGTTAAAAGATAAATAAAAGAACAGAGTTCCAATGTTTCCTGCATTGCACATATTTAATCTGTCCTAAAGCAATTACTAAATAAAACCTTTTCTTTTTTGGTACCTTAAAACTTTTTATAAATATCTTAGAGAAATGAAGACTTGCAATGAAATTATCCATATAATTAAAATTTCCAAGGGCCATAATTCTTGTAAAAATACTTGATCAGCACTGATTTTCAATCTTGCCCCATGAAATTGCTGATGTTACCTAGGATAAAAGATTTATAGAAATCTGGGAAGAATTATACAAATGAGAGCGCTTACAATGCAATTTTCCATAAAATTAATTTTTCCAAGGGGCAAAACTCTTTAAAATAAAATGCTCCGCAGGGCGCAGCTTGATACGACAGCAGAGATCGAACCCTGAACAGTTTGGGCAAGTATGGACACAACATTCAAGCTTGATACAGCTTTGCATTTGGATTGTGATTAAATATTTGACACAGCATAGGTTTCTGACACAGAATGAATGTGGTCTAAGAACTTAAAAATTTTAAATTGGACATTCACCTATTATGGTCCAATATCCAAAATCTAAATACATGGTTAGATTCAGCATATCAAAGAACCCCAAGAATTCAATTTTTGATGAAATCAAACAAAGTTTAATTTTTGACCCTTTTGATCTCAATGTGGATAAAGTTGATAACGGGGCCCAAAAATCA